AAACGCAGCAGGCAGTAACTCACTGCTGGCCTGGGCAGTAGCTGAGGAAGAGTTTGATCACGCTGAATTCTGCTGCTGCTGTTGCTGGCATAGGCCTATTTATGCAAAGCTGGATGAACATCCAGCTTTCTTACGACATTGAATCAGACAAGAAAAAAAGTCAACGTTTTTACATGACGTATCTTGGAAAAATGGCATATGCTAAAATGACAGGTCAACCACCTTAACACTGGAGAAGAAGGGCTTTCCCAAGCAGAGCCTGGCATGGTGCTACTGGCCACATCAGCCTTTGAGAGCACCCTGAGTCAGGGTGGGGAGAAGAGGCAGAGTTTCACTAAGTGCACCCCCAGCACCTCAGTCTCCTGCAAAGGGCTTAGGTCATTACAGCCTCTCTGAAGAGTAACTGGGCTCTGGAATAGTCTTATTCACTAGTCTGATCCTTTTTAATGTTGTTTTTTGTCTTTTGGAATCTGGATATTTTAATAAGGATTTGGCAGCTGCCACTTTGGTGCTGCTCGTGCAGGAATTCAGGGCTGACAGCTCTGGGCTCTGTCCCTTAACATGTAGGCACCTTCCTCGCTCACTGCTCAAATTCCCTCCAGGCTGCACACTTTTTCACACTTTATACCAAATCATGTTTTTGCTTTGAACCAGGAAGCATGGGAAATTATCTTTTTTTTCTTCCCCTCACAGCTAATGGCAACTATAATACAGGAAGAAATAATAGAAAGTTGAGAAACAGAAGGAGCTGGGGAGGGGGGAGGCAAGTGTCTAGAGAAGCAGACGGAGTTGGGGGGGGGAACCCCTGGATCTATCAAATAAATAGAGCAGAAATCTTTCTTGCTTGGCCTTTGTGGTGTTATTATTAGAACAACCACGCCTGAATGCACTAAAGCCACACAACCTCCAAGCATCCACATCCAGCTCTTCTATGGCAGGATCCTTTTTCTGCTTTGCTAAAGGAGGGAGACAGAGTAAATGAGAGGATGTGAAGAAGAGAAGGGTCTATAAATGATAAATACGATCAACTTTGATAAAGCAGCTGTTTGGAAACCTTCAAAAATCTTCTCATGAGAGCAGTCATTAATGTATGTCTGTTTGACATTGGTTGTTAGGAAACCAGCCAACATTAATGGATCCACAGAATGTAATGGAGAATCCATTTAAATGGTCTCTTGTCATTTTGTCATCCCACAAGACAAAAAAACCCAATTACTTTAACTCAGGAATGAAATGAAATGATAGTTTATATGATTCACTTGTATAGTCTAAAGTGATCAAAGCACACACTAAAAATATATTAACAGTCTATATCTGATGCTTGAAATGTAGCATTTCCTATATCTGTATTGGCCTTTTTTCTTATTCACTGTGGTATCTAGCTGCTAATCGTTTAAAGACTGTGGCTTTACAGTTTCTGTATTGCTTTATTTATTATGCATCTTATGATGATGCTGAGGGGCTACAGTCTCGCGCAGGCTCAGCATTGCAAAAACAGCCTGCAGTGTAAAACACCAAGTAAAGGAAGTGCTGGCTGAAAGAGATACCTTATCCTCATTTCACAGAACAGAGGCATAGGGAGTGTTAATATTTAACGCTGGCTCTTAGCAGAAACATATGGCTAAACTTTGACTGCATATTTCTTCTAAATCTCAGGCCAGTGGTCTTTGTCTGCTGGATTACCCCGCCACAGGGCTGGCTTTTTTTCTTTTACTGGAAGTAAGAGATTCAACCCTGTGCAGAAAATTAGATGTTCAGTGGTCCTGAAAGCTCACAGTCCACTCCTGTGGTTGCAGCCTCTGGCTTCAGCTCGCAGCAATGGTGCCCAGTTCCCAGGGGCAAACAGTGAAGGCCAGGCGAAATGTCATTGCAGAAGCACAAGCAATTTGCAAAGGACATGGGAGGACATGTGCAAAGGACAATGTGCAAGGAATGAAATGAAAGCAGGTCCCTTTTTTGGCAGACTCTCACTCACTCGTTAGCTTTTTTCCTCTTTCCCCTTTCCAGGAGACTTTTTCAGAGCTTTGCTGCTCTGAGGTTGGGATGCTGTTCCTCAAACATCCAGCCTAATTGCATTCGTTGTGGGTTTATACTTATTTGTCCTTGGGCCAGCATTGTCCTCTACCCTACCAATGCTGCTCCCTCCCTCTGAGCTTCATCCCCACTGAAGGCTGAGAACATTCATCCCCTTGCAGCTTGTTTTTGCCAGCACTTTTAGTTCCTATTCTGGACCTCCTAGAAAATCCGCTACAGCTTTTGAGTATTTTAAAGGATTGTTCAGTTCAGTGAGTATTGTGCAATATTTCTGCTTTCTTGGTGTCAGGGGGCATATTCCCTGATACTGTGAATCGGAGATGTGGACAGGCACTGGCTGGGCTGTAGCACAGGGTACTGTAAGCTTCTTATTTGAAGATAAGCAATGTATTTGTGCTTTATTTTTCTTCTGGGACAGCACTATGCACAGCTCTGCCCAGTTTGCTGGCTAAGGGAGACTTGTTGGGTGGCTAAGAGGTTATGCTATTTTATCTGTGAACAGCAGTGTGTGTCTACAACAATGGGTAAATGGGTAGCAGAATTGTATGTATACTAACCCAACTCCTACTTTTATAGGTCAAACACTGTTCCCAAAGTCAGAAGAGCTTTCTACAAGCTAAATTTTGCAGAAAAATCTATTCTAGTCTGATGAAATGTCTGAGCATTTCATAAGTAGGTAAAACTTTCCACTCACCTACTGATATCCGTCACAGGCAACTACTAGTGCTTCAGTCTAGACAGATTTTTCTGGGAGTAGGAAGGAACTGCTTGTGCCGGTCGTTTCATTAGCCTCCAGGGTACAATTTGTGATCATGAATATCACATGCCCTCAGCAACAAAAAAAATGGGTGGGGTATCATTACTATTGCTTACAAATTTTTGTCTTGACTTGAGATTCCCAAGGAGGCAGTGTGGCTCAGAACAAGATCAGGGCAAGTTGCTTTATGTCTCAGTCCCTTGTATGTAAAACAGACATAGTGCTTCGTAATGGGTAAAGGAGATACAAAATCAGCTCACGTGAGTGAGGTATTCCCCTACTACAGTGGTGCCAGACAGACAAGTCATCAAAAGCTCTGCCCGCAATTTGGGAACATTATGTTATTACAATGTCAATAATTTCATTAGTAAATCCTCTTGATAAACAAACACTGTCAGGTTGCCATCATTCATCCTACAACCTCCCTCCACTATCAATCAGTTTTTTCTCCCCCTGGTACCATCCTTTGCACTGACATCATAGCCAGCTGCATGGAACAGCACTGCAAACGTGCTGTAAACTGAGTGAAACGCCACCTGCAAAAATCCACTGAGAAGCAAATAAAGGGTGCCTATTGGACACAGAGTTTGGGGTCCCTTCAGTGTCATTGAAGCTCTGGGAACCTGCACTCCAGCAGGTCTCTCATCATGTTATACCACCACTTCCATCATGACACCTACAAAGTTCTGTGAACTGGGGTTTTTTTCTAATCAAAGAAACTGATACAGTCTGTCGTCATCCCACACATGGCAGCGTGGTTCTTAGGTTTCTCCTCTTCCGTCTGCTCCCTCCTTCTTCTTCTCCTACTGTACTTCTCCAGTTCCTTTCTCTGTACAAAGCACCGGTATGCCTTCAGTCTCAGTGAATATTGTTTTGCATTAAAGAAAGCAACAAAATCATAAAGAGCAAAGCATGTCCATCAGAGAGTTGTTCTCTGACATGATGCGCCGGCTACCCCTCAAAAAAAGGGCAAGAGTGCAAAAGCACAAAAAGTGAATGACAGCTCTGAAATGTGCAAAGGAGAGGAGTGTGTGGCCAGTGAGGGGACCAACCCAAGGTATGCTGGCTCTTTGGCTCTTGATTGGTAAGGGAACCCCAGGAGGTACCTTCACTACCCTTCCTCCCATGCATGAGGCTAGCCCACCTGTGTTACACTGTGTTGTCCTGTGAGCAAAACACTTGCAGCATCTCCTTGGCATTAGAAGAGAGGATGACTGGAGAGACTGTATGTATTGCCTGTGGTAGAAGGATCAAGCTCAGTGCTATACCTGAGCATGTGCCATGTGGTCTGCTGCATTACAGGATGACTGGAGAGACTGTACGTATTGCCTGTGGTAGAAGGATCAAGCTCAGTGCTATACCTGAGCATGTGCCATGTGGTCTGCTGCATTACAGGGGCTGGGGATGAGCCTGCTCCCTGTGGCTGGCTGGGGCATGGGAGAGCTGGCATCTCCCATGGCTTTCTGCTCCTGCTTTGCCCCTTGGAAAGTTATCTGCTGTGTACACTGAGGTTGGGCACATCTTCCAAGAGTACCGGCACTCCTGAGAAATTCTCTCAAACCTTTAGTGGACTTGATTCATATAACTTTCAGAGGCAGACTTCTGGGATTTCTCTTTAGAGGAATTGAAGAGTTCCTGCCCCTCAGAAGTCCCTGTCTGTTAAGAGAACATCTGTTGATAGGTGACAGTTAAAGTCGCTCAGCAGGGCGGGCAGTGAATCTCAGCCGTTACGCCCTGGAAGGCAGCAAGGTAGCAGCCTGTGTCAGAAACTAGTTGGGCATAACATGATGTAGTGAAAGAGCATATTGGCAGGAGAATGGGTAAATGGAAGACCTATTCTTCCCACTGCACTTGCTCAAAAGGTCACTGTGGAAATGTTGCGTAGCTTCTTTGTGTTTTCGTTTTGCTCTCTATAAAATTATTATCCCTTTGGTCCATATATTTAACACCACTACAGTATCATTTCACCTGCTTGCCTCCACAAAGACATTTGCAATATGGCAAAAGGCCATTGTCTAAATGCTAAGTGGTATAACATGACAACACAGAGAAGATAATGGTCACTGCTGTTTGATGGGAGGAGAGGTGCTGTAACAACCCCAGTGCTTGTTCTTGACAATGCTGTTCCAAGCAAGAACCTTTGCTTTTCAGCTAGGTTGATGTAAGAGAGACTAGGAGGCTTATCTTGTACTCTGTTTTTATCCTACAGCTGTCTCCAACCTTGATGCAGAGAGCAAACTGAGTGTCTATTACCGAGCACCTTGGCATCAGCAAAGAAACATCTTTCTCCCCTCCACTAGACCGCCCTGCGTGGAGGAGTTGCACCATCACGCCAAGCAGCACCTGCGAGCCTTGCGCAGAGGTAGGTGCTCACACACTCTCTGGCTCCAGGCACATAACACATCTCCATGGTCCACTCCAGGCAGCAGAAGGGTGCTCAGGCACAAGCACACAGAACTGTGGGCACTGGTCTCCACTGGGTCTTAGGTACTCAGGCTAAGAAATCATAGAACCATAGGATCATAGAACGGTTTGGGTTGGAAGGGACCTTAAAGGTCATCCAGTTCCAACCCCTCTTCCCAAGGGCTGAAACTGGAGTCCAGCAGTATTACAGAGTCTTCAAAAAACTAAGCTGTCTGCTCAGGGTTTCCAAGCATGATACTGGAGGATACCTGTGTCCTTCAGGGGTGGCAGCTGAAAGCCAGGTGGACAGCTTGGAAACGTTGGGCAGGTGTCCCATTCTCAGACTGGGGAACACTTCCTGACATCGCCTAACAAACTGGAGATCTATAGCCTCAAAACCGAATCATGCAACACAGAGAGGAAGCAGGAGCAATCAGGCTCATAATCAGGCTCCTGCATCCTTGCCATAAAGGGATTTTACTAGATGCAAACATCGGGATGGTCTTGCAGCAGGACTGCAAGAAGGCAAAAGATGGGAAAAGGTCAGTTTTCACTGGGAACCTAACCAAGAGAAAATTCTTTCCAGGACGCAAGTCAAAGCAAGCAAACAAGCCTGTCTTTCTTCTGTGCAATAAGGAAGGAGAAAATCCATGCAGGTCACCCTTAAAATGTTTAGCAGCAGCCTCCTGTGTTGGAAGTGTTTTGCACCAACAGCTCTAATTGCCTTGCTCATTTATTATTGTTATTAGCTTAAAATAATAATCGATTACTTAGATCTGCAGAGCATCTGTTATCTGGATAAAATGTTCCAATTAATTACCACATTTGACTGTCTCTGCAGATTTTAGCTCAAGAACACACTGTGGGTGCAGTATGTCTTCATAGCACTGCAGATAACAATATAGCCAAACTGCAACCACAGTAGTGCTGGAGTAGAGCAGAAATTCTTTTCTGTTCTCAGCAGCTCTGCTTTGCAATTGTCCCACGACCAGGCTGATCTCTGCCTGCCATCTTGTGGGCAGGAGAAATTCTGACAGCAGCACAGGAAGGCAGCTGTCAGAAAATGTCTCATCATTTTAAAGGTACAAACCTCAGTTTTGGCAATGTCCCATCCTGCACATTTAACAGAAGCTGTGCAGGTTGAGCAAGCAGCTTTTCATGTGCTGCTTTATCATATTTTCCAAATAACTGCATGTATGGGAATGAAATTATAATCTGAAATTTACCCTACACATGTTTATTGTGTCTCAACACAAAATTTCATTATCTCTTTATCTGTTTAACCAGGAGCAATTAAAACTAAACATTAGGTCGTAAAACAGCTATGCTAGCAGCAAACATTGTTGGCTGGACATTAGCTATGTGTATCAGGTGAATATATTATCTCCTTCCAGCAGCACACAAGGCAAACGGCACTTGTCTGACTGACACCTAAAATTAGAGATGGGAAGTCCATGAGCATTGTCCTGTTCACTTGGAAGGTTTCAGAGATTTAGAACTGATGCTGAAAGAGAACTGGATATTGTGTGCCTATGGTGAAGGGAGACTCCTGTGGGCCTGTGGTGGAGATATCTTGACTTTTCTAGGATGATGTCCTTCATGATGGAACACAGTCCTGCTGCTGCAACAACTTTCATGATGTTGAGTCTGCTCAGAATCTAGCACTGCCATGCAGCCAGGGAAGAAAATCATATCTGGGGCTGTGTTTCTTTCTTTCTTTCTTCTCAGAGGGGCATATTTTATATGGGTAGAGTGCAGGCATTACTGCATCTCAACATTTCAAGGCAATAGGAGCTGCAGGTTCCCATTGGGAATGAGGCCTTGGGTCCCTAGTACCTAGAAAATAGCTCCTTTGTCACTTGGGATAAAGAGTATAAATCTCATTTGGGGACAGTTCAGCTTCAGTGAACATGCTGGGGTGTGTTGTATGGACATTGTGCTTCTGGGCACATGGATGTCCAGTAACTGCTTGTCCCCTTCAGTTGCAACAGGGATCATATGTACCAGTTAGTAGGGAAGAGGAGAACCTTCATCTTTGGAATCCACTGTCCTGTTCCTGTCTCTGTTGTGCTGTTAATAGAGATATTTGTATGTTTTTAACACTCTGAAAGACTCGTGTCTTCTTTCTCATCCAAAACAGAACATCGAAGCCGAGGTGATAACAGAGAGCAAAAAGTCCAAGGCCCCATTGCTGTGGTGGCTCCCCCCTTTCCTCCCTTCCCTGCAATTTGCAGTCAAAAGAGGCAAGCAATAAAGGACCGGCACTTGCTACCAGTAAGTCTTTCACTACAGCTATCACACACAAACACGTTATTAGCATGGTGGGACATAAGTATGACAGTGCCCCCTCCCCAAGCCTGTGCAGGTACAACACAGTTGACCTTAAAGACTATCAGAAGCACAACTCAGGTCACAGCTTCCAGCAGCCAACCCCAGGGTGGCCATTTCCATTGAGAAACCTCTTTTTTTCACCCGTGGTCAACAGACATACACTCTCATTCACACACTCCTCCACAGTTCTTCACATTCTCCACTCGTGCTTTATAGGTAGCACTTTGAGGACCCTCCTGTAATTTCAGGAAGTGCTGTAATTTCATCCCTGGCATTAGCATTGCCAGGAGCCAAGAACTCAAGGTCTCTGAGTGCTGGCTTGAGGCTTGTGTGTATGCAGATAGGTTCAGCAGCACATCTCCTGCTCCAAGGAGCTACACTTTCTTTGTATGTGTGGGCAACAGCCCTGTTCTGCAGTGTCCATTTCCATGCAGTTTTTGCAGATGCTTCATGTCTCACACGTGTCCTTCCAGCCAGCCAAGCGGGAAGGTCAGCTGAAGATCTGGTCCTGTATGTCTGTGCTGACTTGCCACACTGCTGCACTAATTCGAAATCAAATTAGTGTTGATAATATGGTATTTATCATTGTTAAAGGAAATGCGTCAGATCCACAACTTTGACTGGGTCTGCAACTCCCACTGGCCTCAGCTGGACTTTGGTACTTCTGTGACTCTGGGTGTTTGACCCACAAAAGTAGCTACATTTTGCCCTGTGCTAAGAGCCATTGTATTGGTTAAATTCCACAAGTCAGACCTGGATTTGACATTTAAGTGATACATTTGTCTAATGCCAGGCCTCAGTGGGATAGGGATAAATCTGTCCTGCATGTGCCAGTACAGAGACATTGGCATCTCCAGAGATGTGAGCACATTATAAGCATGTAGCTACGAAATCATCACTTACTTTGCTTAAAAAGTCCAAGTACATTCATCCTAATCCACTATATTAACCATATTTAAATACGATAATGATAAAGGAGTCACAGTGTAGAGGAGTCAATGTAAAGGAATCACAGCTGCCCATGGGCCAAAACATCAGCTAATCAGCCCATAGGAAAATTTTTGTTTCTCATTTAAAAGCATAAAATGCATGATAAGGTTTTGATTAGTTTGACTATTCTGGCTTTTTGACTGCTTATCTGGATAATTTTGAGGAAAGCATCACCATCGCTGCAGGCTTTGAACTGGTTAGATTTGCAGGCCTCATTATTCAACTGAAAGAAGATATCCTGATATTAAGGGACAGCATAGAAAAGAGTTAGAAGATAGAAAGGAGAAACAGACTTACCTATTTCTAAGCCATCATCAAAGCTATTGCTGTTGTAGGACCATTAAAAGGTAAAGGGGAGGCGATGCCATGTTATGGATCAGAACCAGTTACAGATAAGAATTTGGACAGTCTATTGAGCATAAAGCTCTCTTAGTATCAGATGGAGAATGAGGCATCTCTTTTGAAATTGCACACACAGTGATGAAAGGCCAGAATCTTTGCTGTGTTTGGAAAACAACCAGTGTGTTTTAGACATTAGTTCCATCTGTGGACCACAAAATAATAACAAATAGTGAGAGCAACCCTCTAAGTCCTGTATTAGTTGGCAAAATTAAGTCATGCTGAATGCAGATGTCTTGGTTTTATCAGAAAGTCCACCTTTTTCCTTTAAAGAAGCAAAACATTAAACTTTGTGCCCACCCATATTGGACTTTTTTTGGAAGCTAACCAGGTTCAGTATTCCCCTGAGGAGAAGCAAACGAGCTGCTTGGAGGGCTGTTGTTCTATCGATTTCAAGGCATCTGGCAATGTTCTGCTTTGGTAATTGCAAATACGCCAAGGCCAGAATACTTCAAAGTGCCTTGAGCCATTTCTGAGAAAACTCCTTGTTCATGAGGCAACTTAAAAATTAAAGAGAATAAGACAAGATGAAGCTGCACATGAATGTTCTGTCTGGCAGAAGGCTAATCAGNGATTTTTACAAGACACTGAAACAATGAATAGCTAATTGATATTGTGCCAGCCTTCATGATTTAATGATACCATTACAAGAGAAAGTTGTGAATGCTGTAATTGCCTAGCTCACCCTTTTTGGCATAAGCTTTTTGACATCTTCAAAAGTATATCTGCTTCAGAGATTGTTGGTAATGTTTGACATCTGATTCCAGTTGATTGTATCATCTAGACATCAATGAACTAAAGATGTTAAATGTACAATAATGTTTATTCATAGCATAGCAGTCTGTTGTGTATTCCATTCTTCTTATGCATTGGAAAGGTGCTGAAGGAAGCAATACTAAACAACAAAAACCCCTTTCTGTGTTTCTTCTAAATTAGGAAGAGATCAACAGGAAGCTGGGAAATTTTTAAAAGTTACAGATCTGACTTTTCCAAACTGAGTATCTAAGTTTAATGCATGTATTACAGTACTGAAATAAGAAACTTGATTTTGAGAAATGTTCAAATTACTACTGTGAGACCTGTGAAAACTGTTGCTACTGAAAGCTACTGAAAAACCAGGTCACCTATATCTAAGACCAGTCAAGATTTCCATATTTTTACCTTCTGGCTGCTGTTTTTATTGCTACCAATCAGGTGGCTATGAACTCTTCCAAAGATCTTGCATATTTTATGATAAAGCTAGAGAAAATCAGTCACAACAGATGAAGATTAGCTTTTAAGTACAACTACGTTTACAAGGAGGAAGATGTCAAAGTACCACAAATTCCAAACAAGGCTAAATTAATTCAAGTCCAAAGAAAGTAATGCCAACCTAAATGGGTCTGGAGGGATGTTTTGGACTGTTCCATTACAAGATTGTTTTGTTGTGGAGAAGGAGTAGAGAACTAGAAATGGCATAGGCTCTTTAGTGTCTACTCTTGTTACAGGAAATGCCCTGATTTGTCTCTTGAAAGGTTCACTTAGCCCAAAGGCCAGAAGAGAATCCTTCAGGAAAGAGCATAAGAACAGGGCATGGTTTATGCTGTTTATTGTCCCATAATTTATCCTTACAGTTTCAAATAGAAAATAGTTACAGAGTTCCTGAGCCAGAGAGCAAATACAGAATAATAGCCACCAAGTAACTTGTCTGTGTTGACTTTGAGATTTATTTAGTCCAATTTTTTAAGTAAATTTACGTCTTTACCATCAACAGCATCCTGTGACAATGACTTTAAAAATCTGTATGAAAATGTAGGTTTTGTTTGTTTCAAACTGATACCTCATCATTTCATCGTATCCCTTCTGGTTCTCAGACTACGAGAAACAGTAAGCATTTGATTCCTCATTCCCCTTTTCCATGCCCCTCGTGGTTTTGCAGACATGATTGTACTTTCCTATTCATTTCAGTCATTCATTTTTAAAGCTGAAAAACTTTAGCACACTTAGTCTCTTCCTAGACAAAAGAACCATGCAACCGAACGCATTTACAAGTATCACTCATTCAAGCATTTTTGCCAGTGAAGAAAAAAAACCCAAAAAACCCAGCCCAAACCAAAAATAATCTGAGGAGAGTACGAGGAAGTTATGGACTTGTTAAAATGAGGAAAATACTTTTTACACATGTTCCCATGACAACCCTGCCTGTAGCACTGCTGAGGCCAGTCACTGAGTGTGAAGATGCTGTGTCATTCCAACTGCATTTCAGCTCTCTCTTTAAATTTCTCTGCATTTTTTCTTTCTCTGGTTTCCCCAATTCCAGCCAGCCAAACTATGAAATTTTAGTATTCCAGTTCAGAATGTTATGGGACATACTTTCTCAATTCCCATGTGGCACAGTTATTACAATAAAACAAAGGAGATGGAGCAAGGAATTCAGTGTTTGGAAATTTACACTCAAAATTGCACAGATTTCAGTGTCAGCTTATTCATAATTATAATCTGATCAGAAATCTAAGGAACAAGAAGCAGGAGGTTATTTTCCAGACAGGCTTTTCCTCTCCCTGAGGCCTCCGCCAGAGCAAATGTGAACAGAAAATAATGCATCGGGTAGTTTTATTTTATCTCGTTGCCATTTCACAAATATTCCTTATAGTCTGCTTTAGGATGCTTTGCTCAGCAAAGGGAAGAAGGCACAACAGAATGAACTAACTTTCACACAGTTTTGTGCTGAAGCCACATGAAGTCTCAGTAAAAAACAAGTGACTTAAGGGCCAGGCACGAGTTGGGCTATGCACCTCCTATGTGCAAATTGTGCCTGTATCCCTTTTATTTAGAAATAAAACCTACCTGACATTATTTGTCAGACTGCACTTGTATAGCACTGTTTGTGCAATGAGCTTAATACCTACTACCCTGTATCATGAAATGTTTATTTTGTACCTTGCTCTGCTGGAATGCCACATGTGGTATGACTTCTGTCACAAAACGTGTCTTATTTTTGTCTTTACCTTGTCAAAATATTGGAGCAGTACATTGACTGTTAAAGGATTGTCAGTACTTTAACTGATTGCATTTGTGATGTTCCAAAAGAAAAGAAAACACCCACAGGCAGATAAAATAAAAACTTGAGAATGAAATATCTAGAAATATAAATGTTGGGAGCAGGCAGGGGAGCAGGGTTGTGTTTGGCAGCAGAAATAACACCATCAGAAATATTCCCATTATTTTCTCTTCAGCATCATTTGACCATATAGGAAAGCTGCTGTATAGGTACAAATATTCATTTCTAATTAAGTAGTCAACTGTGCCCTGAAAACACTGGAAAGCTGCTAGCCTTTTGTTACTATTTCTTCTCCTTTTACCAGGCCTTTAGTTTTTCCGATATGTAAATCAATACCATTTTCCTTAACTCCTGTGAGTTAAGGAAAGAACAGGCTGTCCATTTCACAGGCAGAGAGAGGGAGACAGAGAGGTTTCAACCAGAGCCCCAGAAGGAGTCAGGAGTGTACTCACATGAATGTGGGATTGAACACTAGTTCACACTTATTCTACGTTACCTTTTCAGTGCATGAATT